AGTTACAGATCACCAATAACACTTTTCAGGTAGCCGCGGGATAATCTGGAGCCGCAGTACCCAGGGACCGCCCGACTGCCAGGAATCAGGTCACACCTGCCCTTGGGCTCACTCTTCGCGCCCCTGTCATACCCCCATCAGCACCAATATGCGCACTCATGTAGATCCCGGCCCGAAAAGTGCCACTAGCTTCGCGGTCGAAAGGTACTTTATTCGGCCAGCTAAATGTGAGGCATGCGTTCAACATGACAAGAGGGACGAGCAACGATCGGTCCTTAATCGACACAGACGAAAACTAACAGCACCCCAGAACCCTATCTGGTTGCCTCCAACTTTTCCGTCCGGTCTCCAATTATCCATCACACATGGTTAATTCTAGGATATCATTCTTTCCATAGCTAAATTCTTCCAGTAACCACCTATAATGTAGGTGATCGAGTATCACCGATCGCTACCAGTCTAAGCAAGGCTAAGCGGTTATTCGATCCTGACCTAACAGGGTAAAATGTAATAAGGTAGGCAAGGATAGTAATAAATGCATCAACGGTTTCAATCAACTCCTACAACTTAATGCAACAATATATAAACTCATATATATATAGAAAGAATTGCTTTTATAAAGTAGGAGACTTAGAATGCTTTGGGGCTTGCCTCGTTCGAACGAACTAGGTTGGTGATCCACACACTCGGGCAAGTCCTCTCCTAGCTCCTCTTCCTCTGGCACCTCCGGTGCCTGAATTTCTTGTGGATCGGTCCCGGTCTCTTCTTCCTGAACCGCTACTAGCAACTCCTCCTGTGATCCTGTATGATGCAGATGTATAAGTGCTAATGCATAGGTGCATCGGAGAGATGACATGAAATGATCATGATGTATGAAAAGTGGATGAGCATGTTTAACTTCACTTGACATAATCGTAGCAACGCTCTTCTACAAGGTAGTTAACATCATCCAAGAACATGTACTACTATCTACTACAACAACCACTGTACTAACATGCCAAATCACCACAGCAAACTAAGATGCTTCAAAGATACACCAAAGTGAACATTATTAATTAACTCGCATTAAAGAAGATTGTTTTATTTTTTTTAAACTTAGGCTACAACAGCAACATACATTTCTAGTGTTCGTAAAAATCTGAGAAAATTACAGTAGCATAGTACTACTCTAAGTAGACTACCATAAAATTTTTATGGCATTTAGATAAGTAAAATAGCCTACACAAAAATGACAAGGCATAATTGCTTAAAAAGGCATAAATAGGAAACCTTAGTTAAAAGTGTCAAGTAACAGATTTCACATTTTTCCTAGTATTATTCTAGCATAAGAATAGCACTCACCAATTTTTACCTTTACTGGATCTATAGAAAAACTATGAAAATTCACACCAGATCCATCCATTGATAAAAGGAAATTCTATAACTCAAAAACTACACATGCACTAGCTCTAAAATTTTAACCAGAGCTTCTACTAAGCAAAAATAGATTACCCACAAAATTTCATAATTTTTGGACCACAGCAACTCAAGATAAAATTCAAACAAGTTTGCATGCATCTAAAAACACATTTCAAAGTCCTATTTAATTCATCCAAAATTTCTAAAACAAGTGCTCATATAATATTTTTATTAAATACTAGACATTACTAGGAACTCAACAAAATTAGAACCATAACATTTGGATCTACCAAACTTGAGTTACACATGTTTGAATCATGCACACAAATCTGTGAAAAACAAACTAAACAAAACATAAAGGAAAACCTAATCAGCTACTGGGCCAGCCCGGAAAAAATCACGGCGGCCCGCGACGCACGCTGGCGCGGCCCAGAAACGGCGCGGCCCATGCTGGCTCCCGCCTCTGCACGCTGCAACTGACGCGCGGGTCCCGCCCGACAGAGAGACAGCCAGGGGAGGAGAACAGGGCGGCGGCGAAGCTCATCGCCGGTGACCTCTCCGGCGAACCCGACGGCTCAGGTGCGCTCCCCACACCAAGGTGCACCTATCTAAGCCCTCAATTCAAACTCTACTGATCCCCAACAAGGACGATAGCATGAATGGCGGACGGCGGCACGGTCCGACGATGCTCCGGCGAGGTGACGACGCTACGGCTCTAGTGGGTGACTCTACGAGCATCAGCATCGCACCTAGGACCTAGCGTGAGAGAGAGAGAGGATGGGATGGCCACGGTGGTGGTTGTCCGCGTGGAGCGCCATCTCCGGCGAGGTCAGCCATGGCGGCGGAGGAAGAAAACGGCGATTTCGCCCTTACCAAGGCTCGATTGACTCGATTGAACGGTGGAGGTGGTAGAGGGGATCACGACGAAGCGAGGAGCAAGACGGCCAGCGCGTTTTTGCAGTGGCGAGCTCAAACAGCAACGGCGAAGCTCGATCAGAACTGGAGGGGCTGTGGTGGCTTCGGTGCTGCGCGCTGTGGAAGCGAAAGAAAGCAAATGGAGCAGGCGACTCGATCGGGCAGGCGCGCGGGGTGCTCAAGACGCGGCCAGCAGCGCCAGGAAGCCCGCGGCGCGTGGCAGCGCGAGCAGAAGGCCGGCAACAAGTGTCACCCACGCATCGGACGTTTTCTGAAACGGTGATCACTGTAGCGCGCATTCAGTTCCTTAGATCAGCCTGACAGCGCGACTTGATGACGTTTGTTCTCTTAAACCGTGACGAGTTAGCGAAAGAAACGTACATGAAAATTGTAGACCTACCTTCCATCTACAACTTCTTTTCAATGCCAATCCTCAAATTCGCCATGGATTCGAAGTTACATCAAGCCCAAGTTGGCTTGATCCAACTGAAATTGCAGTTAGGACTTAGAAAATTTGCTAAGTATTGAATCAGCTTTCACTTCTGACTTGTGGGCCCCTTTTGAACATGTTGTGCACATTTTCATGACTTGGCTTCTAAACAAAGTTTGTTCCTTATTAAATTTGCTAAAACTTTGCTTTAGATTGTTCAGGCATGCATAGACTCTAAGTTGCACTTTTTAAATAGTCAAACCAAAGAGTTCAGGAGTCAAAACAAGTCAACCACTATTTGAAAACTTAATTAGGCAAAGTGGTTAACATGAACATTGTTCCTAATGACTTTCTAAGCATAGCTAAGGTGTTTAAAAAATATATTTAGCCATACCAGACATTGGTCACACAAGAATCAAGCACATAATGCATTGAAACGATGGAAAAACAATTGAAATGCTACATTTGTTTCAAGGTCCTGTTTCACATGTTTCATGATCTTGTTGCCTCGTACTAACTAGCTAGATTCCACTAAAGCGAGTTGCACATGTTGCAAGGTATGAGAAACTCATGTTGCATTACTACCATTCACAAGCAATTCAAGTATGAATACAAACAGAATTTGCGAATGTTGCATATGTTTCGATAATATGTTTCAGGTGATATATGCTCATGAATGGATGAATAATGCTCATGTTCATGAAATGCAAGTGCAATTATGCAAGCCTGTCACTAGAGGTGTTACATATAGTACGTGGTTAAGGTATGTCTAATCTTAAGGAGGTTTGCTAGCTAGTTAAATCTGGTCTATAGTTCGCTATTATGGCTATAACGATCCGGTCGATCCTCACTGATGGCACTTTAGATCGGAGGATGCTAGTTGGTAGATTTGTTTTCGATCAGGCGTGACCTTAACTGTTTGCTATGCCTGCATCGGCTAAATAGCCAATCGCCCGCACTTTAACATTCATAGCATGTTTTCATGATCCTGTTAAACATGAATAGTTCTATTTTCTTTAAAGATTTAATCTGTTATCTTTATTATGGCTGTCATCGATCCGGTCGAACCCCACTGTTAAAGATAATAGGTTAGATTTGAGGAGTTTATAGGTCTGCTCGTATTGAATAGTCGATTGTGCATATGCTATGACCATTTTTCTACTTAAATCGGCTATTTCAGCCGATTCGACTGTGCTTTCACAGATATAGCATGTCTTTTAGAAAACCTATCAATGCATAAACGGTTTTATGGATTCTTCGGCTTTAGTGTGTTATTATCATCGTAGCTGCCATCGATCCGGTCGAACCTCACTGTTGATAGTAACAGATTCGATTTAGAGCGTTTGTAGATCCGTTTGTACTAAACAGTCGATTTGTTCGCATGTTATATTCTTTTTCGTTAGATCATCGACTCGATGCTTTACATTGATAACATCCACCTAGCTGATAATTTTACCTATATCTGCATGCATTGTGCTTGTCATCATAAAGACAATAGTAACCTAGGAGCTTTACAGTCCGTAGATAGCCGATTCCTTCGTGTATCGGTTATTTAGTCGATTTTTTCGTCTGGCTGCTTCCGATTTCCGAAGCGGCACACTTGAAACTGTTTAGGCAAAACCGACATGTTCCACCTTAAATTACTAATAAACTTCCTCTCCTTATCAATGGTAGCTTTGTAGGTCAAATTAACCAGCACACCTCGGGAGGAATTCGCAGGGTCGACGGGTCTTGCGATTGAAGCCAAGCGGATCTCCAGCCTTCCTCTATCAAGCAGATCCTTCTGATTTACTGTGTGCTTGACGCATCGACACGTTTTTGCGCCGACAATAAATTTTTCAGATACATGTTTTAAGTGTTTTATCTGTCTTTAGACTTATGTTATAAGTATTATATTTAAATGTTTTAAAAGTAGATGAAGTGTTGCATCTAACTCTTCACGTTCTGTTGCCTGTCTCGATGTCTCCTCTTCTCTCAGCACCGGAGGGAGAGCCGGAGAGTTTTTGTTCCCGGCCGAGGTCCGGAGCGCAGCTGTCCGGCTCTCCCTCCCTTCTCCCTGACTGGTGGGCCAGGCCCAGCGACCGAACCCGACCCAAATTCGCAACCCGTCCGTGCTCGCCTTCCTCTCCTCCGCCCGCTGTCTCTCGCGCCGCCCCCCCCCCCGCCCCCCCCGCCCCAAGCCCCAACCCTCTCGGACTAGGCAGGGGACCGGCCGCCCAGCGTCGTAGCCGGCGAGATCTGCCCGCCGGCGGTGGCAATGGCTGCCCCACACGACGAGGCCGCGGCGTGGTCCGAGGAGGCGGCGCGCCGGGTCTGGGCCGGCGCCGTGCCGCTCCAGGTCCACCTCCACGACGCCGACGTCACCGCGCTGCCCCCGCCGCCGCCCTTCCTGGTATGCGTGCGTATGCCCCCCCTTCCCCTACGGAGACTCGCTCCCTCCTCAGCAGCTACCTACCGCCTCCTGCCCTTCGCTTGCAATTTCTGCCGCGAACTCGCTTTGTTCCCAGGATAGGAATTCTCCGTCGTGCTACTCCATTGCCGATTGCTTGCCTCGCTTAACTGTTACGTTAGTTAAGATCACAGCTGCTCAGTTTCTAGGCCACTACAGTAGTGCGCAGTACAGGCCGTTTGTGCTCATCACATCAGAAATTGAGCTGCTGTTGTAGGATTTGCCAATCTTTTGTTTGAACCCATGTACAAGATACCCAACTACGGGTTGTAAAATCCTTGTCTTCACCCACGACTGTGTAATGCAAACCAAGCAAAACTTCATGCCAGCCTTATAATCTTGTCTAGGTTAATTAATATTTTGAAGTTGAATATCAGTGGGTCGTCATGACTCCTGGGTCAATTTCTGGAACCTACTCCTTCCATTTGTGTGAGGAGTTGAATTTAGCTCTACCGATCCCTGCAAAGTTTTATGCAGTGGCCAGTGATAAGGTTTAGTATATAAGGTTGGTGTGCTCCGTCGCTGTTACAATTACAACACAGGAGAATTCATTGTCTGTCGTTAATACCTGTCTGAGCATGATTCCAGTCTGATAATCATGTGTGCACTCTATTTTTTATTTCCTTGGCTTGTTTAGTTGGCATCTTATGTGCCCTCAGATGGTGTATACTAGTGTTTCTATGGAATTCACTGAAAATTCATCTATTTACCCCTTCCTACCCTCGAGTACAACAAAAGTGCAAAGCTGCTATTCGCCTTTTGTTTCTATGGAAAGGCCTATACTTCCCTTTACAGGACTGTTCTTCGTGTTGAGAAATATTTGGAGTTTTGGCATACGCTGTTAGTCCTCCATAATCTTATCTGTTTCATTTATGGATCTTCTTTTTGTCTTGAACAGACTTTGGGGCCAAGAATTGGGTACTTGCCCCTCTTGATACCTGTTATAAAGGCTCATTTCAGCAGTGCGCTCCCACCTGGTGTTGACACTGTTTGGTTTGAATATAAAGGGCTGCCTTTAAAATGGTAACATATGTTACTTTCTCCATATAGTTTTGATGGTCATTTACTGTTGAGTTAAATAATGGAAGCGCATGCTATTGTTCAATACTCTTTAAAGTTGCTGACTGCCTTATTTTATTTGTTTATTTTTGCACTCTTAGGTATGTGCCAATTGGTGTTCTTTTTGACCTTCTATGCATGAGATCCAGAAAGACCATGGAATCTAATAGTAAGGCTGCATTTTCACTTCTACTTTTATATGTACTTTTATGTACCTAATTGGTTTGTAGTATGTTCTCTGTCATTTGTGGTTTGTTGATGTAATATACATATGCAAAGACGGACTGATATATCTCCTTTCATAAACTATTTACATTATATGTTTCATATTTTTGTTAGCTTGAATTATTATTAACTATGTATTTTATACCAACTCTACCCCTGAAGTTTTCTCTGTTTTGACTTTTGACTTAATTTTGGACCATACTCCTACAACTCTAGTTACTAGGTTAGCAATTCAGCTCAGTGAAGGGCCAGTTAGGTCAATCTGAAATAATGGAAACATTTTTTACTGCAAGATATTCACTTTGTATCCCTTGCTTTATAGAAATCATACAGACATCAACGTTTCAAAGATTGCTCACGCAGTTTATATGGTTAGGTCGCTAGGTTAAAAAGAACAGTGTTGGGTGTTTTTTGACACTTTACTTGACTGGGCCAAAAAAAAGGGCAGACGGCTCCCACATGAGTGGGGTCTGGGGGCAATATGGAAAAAACAAACTTAAGGATTTTTTTAATGCATGGCAGTTTTCAGTTGGAGTCTGGAATTATGAGATAAAATTTCTGCATTAGCTTGATGTTTCTGGTACCACATGTTCGTTTCTCTTGTTCAGTTCTTATATAGTTGTATATTAACTCAGCTTATGTATCAACTATAGGTCCATTTTAGGGGATATCCCTCAGAAATCTTGTCACCATGCGAGGGTGAAGATAGCGTGAAGTGGAGCTACATGACTTCCCTGAAAGAGGTTTGTTTTGAGAACCAAAATTACCACCAAGTCCCATCACAAAGGAGACGATAGTAATTTTGGTTTTTTTCCCCTCTCTTCAGGCCACCTTCATCATTACTGGGAACAGTAAGAGTGTGATGAATATGTCACATGCTGATCAAGTCGCTCTGTGGGAATCTGTAATGAAAGGTACCCTCTAGAAACATCATCTCACTTTGACAAACATATCTCTGGCTGGTGAAATGTTCTGAAATGCATTTCCACCACACTTTAACCATTATTGTGTTATTTGTTATTAGGTAATGTAGATGGGTATAAAAATATCTCCACCAGGCTTAAGCTTGGACCATTCGAAGATGATGGGTTAGTACGAACAGCCTCCGCGGAGCGGCAACGTCAACAAAATTCTGATGAACCTGAATCTCCTGGATCTAGCAAACCGTGTATGCTCTTTTGCTCTGGGACTTTTATATTGTCATTCATGTTAAACATTCACATGCTTACAAGAATTTAATACGATAATCTGGATTTTTTTTCATAGTTTCATTCAATACACTTTCCAAGTTATATAACATTAAGTGATGCCATGTTATGGTATGCCCACATACCTTGCTGGCTCTGATCAATTAATCTATGGTTAGGCAGGGTCCCTGTTCGATTATATGTACGCAATGTTCAAGAAGACCTTGAGTATATAGAAGATGCAGTACCTGTTAGTGACTGGGAAGGTGTGTCCTACATAAATCGGCCATTTGAGATTCGCAAGGTTGAAGGTATGTGGTGCCACAGAACTTTTATGTTTTTGTATGGCTAAGCTAGTTGTTTCCCTTAACACATGTAGTTCACTCTACGTCGCAGGTAGAAGCTACATTACCCTGGAACATGCATTGCAAACATTGCTTCCAGAGTTCTTCAGCTCAAAGCCCGCGGGGGCACTGGACTCAGCTGCAGACAGTTCAGATACCACCAACTCTTCAAGAAGTTCTCAGGAGGCAGAACAAGCCCTGGCAAGTCCACGAGAGGCGGGTGCTGCCAAGAAAGCGAGGGTGAAGCTGGTTAGGGTGCAAGGCATCGAGCTGGACATGGACATCCCGTTCCTTTGGGTCGCCAGTAACCTGAAGAACCCTGATTACTACCTCCACATATGTGTATACGTTGGCACTAGAAAACAATAGGCTAAGAGTAGATAGAAAAAATGTTAGATACTACGTGTATTAGTGTGCCAGAAATCATTGGCTTTGTTCTTTGGTTATTACATGTGTTATCCTTTGTATATACAGATACAGATGCTGAAATTGTAACTCTGTTGGATGCACGGTGGAAGGATGAATTGGATGGTGAACCATTTTTTTTGTGTGTTTCCGACCGACATTGCAAATGGTATATCCTGCCTGGAGCAGAATCGTGGTAGGATATTGTTGCATATATATGCAATTTGGCATCATGATGTCTGAGTGCACCAAACACATGAGTTCTGAACCTGATGATTCTGAATTTCTGATGGTCGCTGTGGTTCACATGTCTTGGTGAATGCCATCTCTTCCAGATCTATAACACTGATAAAATATATTGAACAAGCTAGCATCGCAGATCAAATTCGTGGAGAAAGCTAAACCAAGGTAAATTCCAGCTACATGCCCCCCCTACTAAGATAACATTCCATCTATATTAAGATAAACAATAAGGAGAAAAAATCAATAAAATAAAATACAAATAGCGCTTCCTCTGCGGGTACGGCTGTCTCTTGCGACGGCCCCTTTTTTGGGTGGTTCATCATCCCGCCATCGATCTGCCTTATAACAACCGACACCTCCTTTCCTTCCTCCGATCTCCCCGTCTCCCTCTTCTCTCCCAGATCCATCTCCCGGCGTGGCGTCAGACTGTCACACCCTTGGCCACCGGCGATCGCCGTCGACGTGAGCACGCAAGAAGAATCAGTGACGAGGACGCCGGCAGGGTAAACCCCTCTGCCTTGGCTGTGTTTGATTTCTGATGAATGTCTGAGTCGCTACAGTAAACGGTGCGGCACTTATATGCTCTTACAGAGACTGGACATCAGGGTCCACACGACAGTGTCTCACTGGAAAACGTAAATAGACTTTTACGCTAACTGTTTACATGACACGGCTTCCTTCCATGGCCACCTGCTCACTGTATGTCGTCCGGCATGACATCTCCCCCCCCCCTTGAGCTACCGCTTGTCCCCAAGCCGGCGCATCTGGGAATCTCTTCTTGAACACATTGTAATCTTCCCAAGTCGTAGCTGATGATGGTAGGCTGGTCCAAGTGACCTTGACTTGAGGAATCGTCGTGTTGCCTTTCTTGACCAACCGACGCTCCAGGATTGCTTCAGGCTTGGCCGCTGCAGCTTCCAAGTCAGTAGTGACTGGAAGGGTATCATATACAGGAGTATAGTCTGCAATGAAAGGCTTTAGCTGTGAAATGTCAAAAACAGGATGAATTAAAGATCCTTCTGGCAATTCAAGCCGATAGGCCACATTGCCAATGCGCTCATGTCTTCAGATATGGTCCAAAGTACTTGTAAGCTAGCTTTGGAAAGGGTCTCATTAGCCACCGAGGATTGTGTGTATGGTTGGAGTTTCAAAGAACACTTGATCGCCAACAGAGAAAATGATAATCTTGCCTCTTCGATGCCAAAGAACTTCATACGGTTACGTGCTTTGGCTAGATTTGTCTTTAGGGCTTCTAAGTGCAATTCCACATTTTCAATGATCTCAATGACGATGAGTTGATGTTGAAGCTGGGACATTAGGAACCGCCCCCACATTGGGTTCGTAGCCATCTGAGCCTTAAAAGGTGAGCATCCCAAAGGCAAAGATGATAGGATGAATTGTACCACAGTTCCGCTTAACGACCACCCATCGAGTCCAAGCTTTTGGGGAGTCTTGCACAGAGCACCGGAGATACATTTCCAAACATTGATTGACTCTTTCGGTATGTCTATCTGTTTGAGGATGGTAGGCAGTGCCGAGTTGGAGATTGATTTTATATAGCTTAAACAGCTCTTTCCAAAAGTGACTGAGAAAGACAGTGTCCCTGTCAGTGACTATTGTACTTGGTAATCCATGTAGTTTGACTACATTGTCCATGAAAAGCTGTGCAATAGTTGCTGCAGTATATGGATGTTTGACTGGTAGAAAATGGGCAAATTTAGTGAGCCTGTCGACCACCACCAAGATTACACTGAAGCCCTGGGATTTGGGTAATCCTTCGATAAAGTCCATGGACAAATCCCTCCATACACCTTCTGGAATTGGCAGGGGCTAGAGTAAGCCCAATGGATGATTGTTGGAGTGTTTCGACTGTTGATAGACAGAGCACTGTTTGATAAATGATTCAACATCCTGTTTCATACCTTTCCAAGCAAAGTGCCTTTTAAGTCTGTGGTAGGTAGCAGCAATACCTGAGTGTCCTCCAAGAGCGCTGGAATGACAAGCAGCAATGATTTTGGTTTGAAGTGCTGCATTTTGAGCAATACAGACTTTGCCATGGTGCCTAATCAATCCTCTGTCCAAACTGTAACCATGGGCATCTGGACTGGAGATGGCTAACCTTGTCAGGAGTTGCTGGGCTTGAGGATCTGTGGTATAAGAATTAAGAACTTCCTGTATCCAAGCAGGTTGCACTGAAGACACAGCTTGTAATGACATAAGATGGGCTACTCTCGAGAGGGCATCAGCTGCCACATTTTCTTTGCCTTGTCTGTAGACAATTTTGAAATGCAGTCCCATTAGCCTTGTCATTGCTTTCCTCTGCATCTCAGAGTGGAGATTTTGTTCATTGAGATAGGCTAGGGATTTGTGATATGTCACTATGACAAACTCTTGTCTTTGTAAATAAGCTCTCCACCTTTCCACTGCCATGATCAGGGCCAAGAACTCCTTTTCATATATGGATAATGCTTTATGTTTCTCTCCTAAGGCTTTGCTAAGATAAACAATGGGTTGACCTTGCTGCATCAACACAGCTCCAATGCCATCATGGCAAGCATCTGTTTCAATTGTAAAGGCCTCTTGGAAGTTGAGCAAAGCCAGGATAGGTGTTCTTGTCATTGCCACTTTAACATTGTCAAATGCCGACTGGGCTTCAGGAGGCCAAGTGAACTGTTTCAGTCTCAGCAAGTTGGTCAGTGGTGTGGTTAGGACTCCATAACCTTTTACATACCGTCTGTAGTAGCATGTAAGACCCAGGAATGCTCTCAACTCTGTGAAGGAAGTAGGAGCTGGCTAGTGGAGCATAGCTGAGATCTTGTTTGGATCTGTGGACACCCCTTCTGCTGATATGATGTGTCCTAAATATTCCAAACGTGACTGTGCAAAAGAACATTTGCTCTCTTTAAGGAAAAGTTTGTGGTTTCTCAATTCAGCCAAAACCTACTGCAAATGATGTTTATGGTCTTCCATAGTGGCACTAAAAATTAGGATGTCATCTAAGAAGACCAATACAAATTTCCTGAGAAATGGTTGCAAAATTTGATTCATGATGCACTGAAAAGTAGCAGGTGCATTTGTGAGTCCAAATGGCATCACCTTGAACTGATAGTGGTCGTGATGAGTTTTAAATGCAGTTTTGTACTCATCCTCTGGATGCGTTCTCACTTGATGATATCCTGACCTCATATCAAGCTTGGTGAAGAACTTAGCTCCACGTAATTCATCTAAGATTTCTTCAATGGCTGGCATGGGAAACCTATTTTTGATTGTGATGTCATTCGATTTTCTATAGTCTACACAAAATCTCCAGGTGCCATCCTTCTTTTTGACCAAAAGGACTGGTGAAGCAAAAGTACTATGGCTATGAGCTATCAAGCCAGCTTGCAAAAGCTCCTGGACTTGTCTCTATCTCAGTTTTGTGTAATGGTGAATAGTGGTAAGGTTTAGAATTGATTGGAATAGATCCAGGCAAAAGTGGGATGGTATGGTCATAGGCTCTCTGGGATGGTAAGGTTTTGGGATCAGTGAACACATCACTATAGGTTGAAAGAATGGCAAGAATTTCAGATGGTGGGGAAGTGTCACTAGGTGTGGTTGGATTGGTTGCTGGTACATAGTCCAGAAGAACAAAAGCCCATATGTCATTGCCCTTGGTGGAGTTAAATACCTTAGTGGCCGAGGTAGACTAAAGTTGTAGAGGGGGTTTTGTGATTCCTTTCAGCTTGACAGGTTTGCCCCCGACACAAAATTCTAGAGTTTTGTGTTGCCAGTCACATTGCATGGGACTATTGGATTGAAGCCAATCAAAATCAAGGATGGCATCATATGGATGCATATCCAAGACCACTATATCAGTAGATAGTGTATGGCCTTGGCAATACCAAGACAAGCCTTGTACCTTTCTGTTGGTGATCATCCATTCACCATTTGCTAGCTTCACTTTTTTATCTTGAGTGGACACTGTAGGTAACTTGGCCAAAGAAACAAACTGAGAGCTAATAAAGCTATGTGAGCTACCACTGTCAACAAGGATGAGCATCACCTTATCCTGGACTCTGGCTTTCAGCTTGATACAGTTTGTGTTGTCCACACTGGAAATAGCATGCAGTGACAACTGGCAAAATTCCTCATGAAGTGTGTCTTCAGCTGCCAGTTGATTGAGGACATCATCAGACAGTTCTCGATCAAGGTCATTAATGACCAATGCATTGGCTTGAGGCTTGTTTCTCTTAGGACACACTTCTAGGTGGCCAGGTACAAATTTGTCACCACAATTGAAACAAAGGCCATTTGCCTTCCTGTAGTCCCTTAATTGCCTATCATTCCACAAAGAAGCGGGTTGAGGTGCTGGCTTGGTTTCAATTCTTGGTGGCATGTATGGTTTTGGTTGACTGACATTTTGTTGATATCTAGCCTTGCTTCTATCATGCACTCCCTGCTGAATCTTAGCAATGATTGAAGCCTTATGCACCATTGTTGGCATTTGACTCTCTACTGTCCCTCTGATTTCTTCCTTGAGTCCTCTGATGTAATGAGGTGTGAAAAACATGTCATCATAATTAGGATTGTGCATGGTTACAGCGAATTGCAAGGCTTGGAACTGGGTGGTGTATTCTGCCATTGTCCTAGTCTGCTTGAGGTCCAATAAGTCATTCATTGCTGTTTGATAGTCATCGGCTCCAAACTCCTCTTCTACCACAGCACAAAAATGATCCCAATCCCTGAAAGTATGGTTTTGTTTGTAAGCTTGGTACCACTTAGCAGCATTACCCTCAAAATGCAAATGAGCAGTTGTAATCCACATGCCCTCTGGCAGCTGGTAAAGCTCAAAGTAACTCTGACAATTGTCCTTCCATATCTTGGGGTCTGTACCATCAAATTTGGGGAACTGCATTTTGGGCATAGCTTGGCTGGGCAATGTGTCTCGTCTCCCATTCTTGGTGGTGGTCTCCTGATCTTGGAAGTTTCTGTCTTAACAGTTCCTTTATCCTTTGTAAAGACATTTTGAAATGATGCCTTCTCCTCAAACAATATGGATACCCCATCATCATCATCATATGCAGCCTCATTGTCAAATTGTCTCATCGTCAACTGTGCCACTACTGCCCCATTGGCTTTGACTTGTTGAGCTATCATGTGTTGTTCAGCAGAGTAGTTATCCATGGCTACTCCCCTGATATCCATCTGGGCTTTTAGCTGCTGTTGAAGTTCCCCAATATCATTGACTCTGGTGAACAACAGATCGAATTGCTCCATGACCTGGTCCATGAACTGCTTCTCATCGTCAGCACTTCTGGCCATGGTGTCCAACAAAATCTGGGTCTGTTTCGATGGTTTAAGTGGAGCCGTGGTGACTGATGGGCAGAATCCGAACCAACTCGGTGTAATCGGAGGAAGGGTAGGGTTTGGTGGAAGTGATTGGGGCTGCTGGAGGAGTGGAGATGGTGAGGACCAGGTAGCCGACACCAAAACCGTCACTGACCCAACTCAACCCAAAGGAGGGACCTCTGGGACCTCTCGTCGAACACCACACGGGTGTGACTGAGATCAACCTGCCCACCGGAATTACGAGCTGTAGATCGAAGTGACGGGATCGAGACGGTACCTGAGAGTGAAGAGCAGACTACGAGCACGAACGGTAGACTGCGGTGATGGTGTAGGTGGGGTGGTGGTAGGGCGTCGGACCACTGGATCCGCCGCTGGATTCGTCGAAGTTGCGGGTAGGGAGCGATGAGGAAGAGCGTCGCGCTCGTCACCCACGCCGAGGATAGATTGTCTCTGATACCACTTTGTCACACCCTTGGCCGCCAACGATCGCCGTCGACGTGAGCACGCAAGAAGAATCAGTGACGAGGACGCCGGCAGGGTAAACCCCTCAGCCTTGGCTGTGTTTGATTTCTGATGAATGTCTGAGTCGCTACAGTAAACGGTGCGGCACTTATGTGCTCTTGCAGAGACCGGACATCAGGGTCCACACGACAGTCTCACTGGAAAACGTAAATAGACTTTTACGCTAACTGTTTACATGACACGGCTTCCTTCCATGGCCACCTGCTCACAGTATTTCGTCCGGCACGACACAGACGCGCATCTCGCAGTTGCAGTAATGGCGGACGAGAAGCTTGCCAAGCTGCGCGAAGCCACCGCCGGCCTCACGCAGATCAGGTCTGCTGCACTCTTTCGCTCTCAGATCACGTACTTATGGCCCCATGAGCGAGATCGCAATTCTTTCTTCTCTGGCCTCTACCTTCCTGATGCTCTGTCTTGGTGACACTGACTGGTTGGTTGGTTTCTTGGCGGTGTCTGCAGCGATAATGAGAAGTCCCTCAGCCTCGTCGGCCGCTAACTCAGGTAAGTGCCATCAGCTCATGATGAAGAATTGCTCGGACCAGAAATGTCGATCGATCTGACAGTGTCTCATCGTGCCGGCGAACTTGAAGCGGCGACGAGGAGCTCATCGAGTGGGCCAAGATCCACACGCCCACCGACGAGGTGGTGCTGCCGTACGACACCCTGGAATCCCCGCGACCCCGCCTGAAGGTACGCCTACTCTTCTGCTGCGTAATCCTGACTCTGATGCACGGGAATGTGAATGCCAAGGCTGATTTGCCCTGCAATAAATAAATGCAGACATTGAGGCAACCAAGAAACTGCTCGACAAGCTCGCCGTGCTCAAGCTCAACGGCGGCCTGGGGACGACCATGGGATGCACCGGACCCAAGTAAGCCGTGCCCAGATCTATCGGATCGAGTTCAGGAATGCCGTAGGCTGTAAAGTCTGCTTTCGGTTTAGTTTCAATTCAATGCCTGAATCAAGCTCTAGCCTTTTGCTTCCATATATATATGCGGCTGCTGGTATCGTATCTGAATATGAGCATCATGTTCATAGAGCTCTCAACAATGCTGTCTGGAACTAATGTTAATTGTATGTAGATCGGTCATCGAAGTGCGTAGCGGATTTACTTTCCTCGACCTGATTGTCATCCAGATCGAGGTGGGTTAACTTAGAACATCACGACTGACTAATGCAGCGTTGTTCCTGCAAACTTCAGAACACTCTCGATCTTCTTTCTATCTTGTATGTATGGTGACGCTTGGTGGCATCATTTCTTTTACAGTCACTCAACAAGAAGTACGGCAGCAATGTGCCGCTGCTTTTGATGAACTCCTTCAACACCCATGAGGACACCTTGAAAGTAAATTCTCTCTTCATCACGAGTTCTTCCTCTTCGTATTGGGGACCCAAAGCTAACGGTTATGCTCGTCCTGCAGATTGTTGAGAAATACGCGAATTCAAGCATTGAAATCCACACATTCAACCAGGTACGCTAGGCAGAACTTTTGTAGGTGTTGGTCACTTGTTTTTTTTTTTTTTTTACCTTAGCTTACCAATTTGACTCTGAAAATATGCTAATCTGGCAATAAAACAATTTGTATCATTACAGAGCCAGTACCCTCGTGTGGTAGCTGACGAGTTCTTGCCATGACCGTCCAAGGGAAAGACTGACAAGGATGGCTGGTAAGCCATCGCTATATGTAGCTCAACCAGAACATTCATGGCATGAACACTAACACTAGTTCCAACTTTCAACACCTTTTGCCTTATATAAATTTTCAGGTACCCTCCTGGCCATGGTGATATCTTCCCATCACTGATGAACAGTGGAAAGCTCGATTTACTATTCTCACAGGTCTGCATCAATCTGGATATACCCTTAGCTCCCATTGTTGTTGATCCAGAGTTTTCTTGCATTAACATAATAACATTCTTTTCTTTGTTGAACCTGTTGCAGGGAAAAGAGTGTGTTCATTGCAAACTCGGATAACATGGGTGCTATTGTTGACATGAGTATCCTTATGTAAACTAGCATTACCATTTACTTTTGCAAGTTTTCTGGTTAATAAAGAGCATGCTACTTTGCAATGTACTTAGCTGTTGAATAGAGATACTGAACCATTTGATCCACAAGCAGAATGAATATTGCATGGAGGTATGTGACTATCTGATGAAGCAAGATTACTTGGAGTTGGACAGTTGGCTGATAAGTAAGTTCTTCAACCTCTTTTCAGGTCACCCCGAAAACTTTGGCTGATGTAAAAGGTGGCACACTGATCTCATACGAAGGAAGAGTTCAGGTTAACTTTTCTGTTTCCTTGTGCTACCGGAGCAATGAATTTGTCTTTCTATGCTTTCCAGTTTGCAATGTCGTTTGATGCATTATTACTTGTTCCTATCTTAATTGAAAGGTAGAGCTCCCACCATTACATTAAAAAATGTATTATTATTTGGAAAGTGTTTATGCAGCCGTTCAGGCCTTAATTTTTTTTCATTAACGCCTGATTACTGTTTAAATGACAATAACCTTCTCTCTATGTGCAGCTTCTGGAGATTGCACAAGTACCTGATGCACATGTAAGTTCTAAGATAGCACTGCATATGCATTGATAATAAGTATCACAGCTAAGTAATTGTATGATTTTATCTGAGATCATTGCCAAAACTTTCTAAACATAGGTGAATGAGTTCAAATCAATTGAGAAATTGAAGATATTCAACACCAACAATCTGTAAGGATCATATTTTTAATTTCATATCTTCTAAACAAACTTGCTCATGTTACCTAATGCTACTACTGGTTTGGCAGGTGCGTGAACTTGAAGGCCATCAAACGCCTTGTTGAAGCTGATGCACTCAAGATGGAGATCATTCCGAATCCTAAGGTACGAGTGAACGTTGGGAAACCCTTTTTCCATCTGAGCCACTTCATGAACTTAATAACTGGTGTGAATTTTAATAGAAAAATATAGTTATAATGGATAACATATAATTTCAGGAAGTCGATGGTGTGAAAGTTCTTCAGCTGGAAACAGCAGCTGGTGCAGCAATTAGAGTACTGCCAAAGTACTATGTACATCACCATGCTTTTATATGACTATATATAAATATAATAACAATATTTTATTGGACCAGTTCTTTGACCACGCCATTGGTATCAACGTTCCAAGGTCCCGGTTCCTACCAGTTAAGGCAACATCAGATTTACAGCTAGTACAGGTTTGTATGCTATGCTGAATAAAATTGAGTATGTAATGCGCTCTCTAGCTGTCTAAATGAAAACCTTTATTTTTGCTTTGTAGTCTGATCTATATACCTTGGTTGACGGTTTCGTTACACGTAATTCAGCTAGAACAAATCCATCAAATCCCTCAATTAAACTTGGTCCTGAGTTCAAGAAGGTCAGACTCTAGCATTTAATTCATAACATTCCTAAGTTGCAGAACACCTTCCTAGTTCAGATAAGTTTCATGTATTTATTCGAAGACCACATGTATCATGTTAAAAAGTTGCAGAAAAACTTTATGGGGGCAATTTGCAGCTCCTTTTCCCATGTTGTTTGTTATGACTCCTTTATGAAGACACATAGAGTAATGACACTTCTTCTCTGTAACTTTTAGGGGAAAGTGACCATCACAGCAAAACCTGGCGTCAAGCTAGAAATCCCAGATGGAGCAGTGATTGAGAACAAGGTATTTTTTCTCAAGAGTCACTACTGTTGATGTCTCAAGAATTTTGCAGTTTTAAAGCAAACAGATATCAGTTTTGTTCCATTTGATGTTTGACACATTTATGTTATCTTCAGGATAATTTTGAAAAGGAAAAAGGACAACTATAACTGTTACATGCTCACTCTAGTTAGAACTCCTAGACAAGTCATTAAATTTTAGCATTCCTCTTCTGGATAGCAAAAGGAGCGCAAGGACAAATTTTGAAAAGGAAAGAGAACAATACTAGAACTATTACCTGCTCACACTAATTAGAACTCCTAGACAATATAAGGTTATCATAACTTGATGAGGAAGCAAGTTGATAGCACAGTTGATGTTTCTAACAACAGGGTATTTATTCTTTTATTCAGGATATCAATGGCCCTGAGGACCTTTAGATGAGAATCAGCAAGAAAGCTCACTTCACCAAGTCGCAGATCATTTTTTGTGTTTTTTTCCTGTATATTCAGGCATGCTCCATTACACTACGGAGAATATTCATTGCCCAGTTTTGTTTCAATATAATCAAGAAATTTTACATGTATTTTACTTTGAGGGAAATATTTTATACACTTTAGTTCTCCTTATTGTCCAAAAAGAAACTTCTGTGTCTTGAACAAAAAAACAAAATCCTGTCCCAGCAACTACCATCCCAGCATGCATCTAATCATAGGTTATTACAATTGCATATCTAATCAGCATGGACCTCAAATGTCAGTAAATTATGTAATCCATTCCTCTGAAATTTGGCACACTCCATAAGTACCTCAATGCTCCCTGTCCACTGCAAATAGAAAAGGTCACCCTGTCCACTGCAAATAGAATGCAAATAGAAAAGGTCATTTTTCGGCAGGAGAAATGACTTTCAGTAGCTCTATATCCAGTTCAAAGGGGGCATCAGGCTGCAAAGAAGCATGGAATCAAACAAAACAACTTCAGTACATGAATGTGCTAATCAATCTGCTTGACCAATGAAATTTTAATAAATCAAAACATGTACCGGTATCTCACTCATTCCCCTTTTCCCATATCCCAGCTCTGGAGGGACAATTACTCTCCTCTGCATGACCAACAGCATATATATACATAACAGAGATGAAGTTAGTAATATACTAGAGGCGGAAAGGCTGAATTATTTGCCTTGACTTGTGCTAGTAGTCCTCCATACCTTTCCCCTACTTTCATCCCCTCAGTTATCGTGTACATGGCAGCTGGAGGCTTTGGTGCCGCTTGCGCTGAGTATAGCCCATTGGCATTGTCTGCAAAGTCCCGTTTTCGTTCTTTCCCAGGCAGCGACCCAACAGTGAACTCATAAGGCTACTAGAAGAAGACACACGAATATCTTAATTCTCATTGTTCTAGAGCAGGGATATCAGAATTTACACAAGAATCAGGTGCAGTTTGCCACATCACCTGGGCGATACTCCGGTTCCCTGCTAGGAGCTTCGATTCACGGCTTGACACTGCGGTGATGCCACGGTATATGCAGTCGAAATGAACCTTTAAGAGTTGAGAAGCATTACTTTCAGTTAAGAAGGAACTGCAATGGGCATTGGAAGCGTGAGGAGGAGGAAGTGATACGTTACCTGCACAGTTGAGCCCTTTTCAGCAATTGGCCCCTTCCCTTCAATAAGATCATAGTACTTCAGACCATCAGCTGCTCCCAAAATGTTATCAGATCAGATTACTCGGAGAAACTCAAAATGGAATTTCAATCAATCAACAGTGAATATTCAAGAAGGTTATTGTGTTGCAGACATAAACAAGTTAGAACCAACAGCATTTGCAGTAAAAAGATCTTAATCTTAGCAGCAAAAGGCTGTAATTAGCTGAGATTCAGTCGCAAATAAAGGTGCCAGCTTTAGCAAGAAACTGAGCGCAGATACAGAAACCAGCAGCGCCAGGAAGCAGGCAGGCACACCGACGTACGTGCAGTGGCGTAGTCCTCCGGCGGCACTACAATGCGTCCCCTCCTCGCGGCGAGTGACGGCGGTGGCGGCGCGACGGACGTCAAGAATCTGGCGGAGAGGAGCTGCACGGCCGCTCGCCGCCGGGAGAAGGCGCCGGGGAGGCAGCCGAGGGCGAAGGTCTCCCTCGAAGGATGAGACGGGGCAGACGAGGGGAGCGCGCGGCGGTGGAAGGTTCTAGAAGGCAGGGCAGAGGAACCAATGGGAGAGTTGAGTGGAGGGTCCGAAATGGCGCGCCCACAACGTCCGCTTCATCATCATATCCATAAAGAAAGCACAGGTGGAGTAGCCCCAAAATTCCAATGTCTGGTGGTTGTTTAGTGACTTGGAGAGTGTGTTTGTGTGCGTGTTTAAAAAAATTGAAACCTTTGCAATCAATCTTTTGGGTTTGAAATACGAACAAATGAACAACTTGATTGTACTGTCTGTCAAAAAAAATGCAACTCTAGCACAGCGCTAACCACTACTAAGTATCTTAAGTTTGACCAACTTATATACTATATATAAAAGCATTAATACTTTATGATACCAAACAAGTATCGTTACATTTGTCGTGAGATATACTTTTATACGTACTTATGTGGTGTCATAGACATTAATATTTTTATCTATATATTTGATTCAACTTTAGCAACTTTAACCAATAATGCATCTAGAATTGCTTTCTTTTCTAGACAGGGGTATTACCTTGTGAAATCAATGTGTTCGAGAAAAAAAAAACTTGTACAATCAATTCATGGTGGCCAGAAGATACATCGAAAGCATGATGAGAGAAATCTAAAAAGGGCGTACCCAGTGCAGAGAGCTCCCGCTCTGTGCGGGGTCTAGGGAGGGGTGTCAGTGGCAAGTCTTACCCTCGCCTGTGCAATGCGAGGAGACCACGACTCGAACCAGGGACCTTCCGGTCACAGGCGGTAAGACTCTACCGCTTGCACCAGGCCCGCCCTTCATGAGAGAAATCTGAAAGAACAAATAAAATGAAACAAACGTAGATTCCATTCATAACACCATCATCATTCGTGAACAAGAGTTGACTATACAATTTTACAGTTTTGCCAAACTCGGACGACTTGTTATCCGCTACACAGCCTTTGGCTCTAATTTCCTATATATAAGGACACATAGATTGGCCCAAAGATGATGTATCCCAGGTCAAAAACGTATACACAAGCACTAGCTTTCTATATCAATATCAGTACCAGGACGGTTACTCATTGGCGTTGTTGGCATTGAACTTCTAGAGAGGCTCATGGTCCGCTTTTTCTTTGGTGGCGGCTGCCTGTCATCGACGAATGAAATGAATTTTCTGAGGCTGCACTTCAATGTCGATGACCCTGCATCCACGGAGATTGCTGATCCCGGCTGTTCATGTCTCAGGTACTGGCGTAGCGTGATGCCAAAGTAAATGAGCACGGCGAGGACACATGCTGCGCCACAAATGAGGAAGAGGCCCATGAAGCTGTCAAGTTGGAGCTGGTTCGAGTCCACAAACTCAGTGTTGTCAGTTGAGCAATCGCCTGTCTTGAGCCACTTGTCATGGATCCGCTGCAGTTCCCCATTCTCCGACAGTGTTAGGATTGCGGTGGACAGGTCTACTTGCAGAGGGGAATCCCTTGGATATGCCTGATAGAGTGAGTTCTGTAAGAGCTATGTTTGAAATAATGAAACAAGGTTGCTACACTCTGGATATTAGACTTCTGAAACACTAATCTTAGAGAATGTGCCCTTTTTCTTAAGAAAAACTGATCTTAGAGTGTACCATCAGCTATGTAAACAGTAGATGGAACGCTTGTAGTTAATGCTGTAACTCCAGTTTGATAATCTTGAAGGCATTATGAGATGTGTTTTTGTTTATATTTCTAGACTAGACTAGAATATATTTCAAGACAACTTAAAGTTCAATGCACTTACAAAGCCCCATCCTGTATTGGTGAAATCTGAGCCAGCAACAGCAATCTTGCAGTAAGTTGACAAAAACAGCTCAACATAGGGGCGCTCATCAACAATGGCCATAACACCTCCTTTCTTAGGGCCTAACTTGAGGTTTTCAGCGTATTCTTCAGGAGAACCAAGAGCTTTCAACCTCGACCGTGAGATGTTCAGTTCCTTGACCATGTATTCTTCGGCAAAAGAACCAACTTGGAAACCAATAGGATAATCACTATCTTTCAGGTCATCAATTCCTCTTATAGAAGTATCAAGTTGTTGCACGGTTAGGATGGAAGTAAGACTTGCAGTATAGCTTGATTGAATGATCAATACAACAAATAGCCATATGATCAGAACACCACGTCCTAAAGTACTCATAGTGTTTTCTCCTGGTAATAAAAAAATTAAGGGTAGAGGTGCCACATCAGTACAGAGGGTCAGTTACACTAAAGGACATAACAGGAAAGGCTAGTTTACTCACTATGTGCAAAAAATAGAGTCGAAAAGCTGAACCTGCAGAGAATAAGACACATCATAAGCATTAATTTCAGAGGAAAGAATCAAGCCATCAGACAGGCATTTAATAATACATGTGCAGAAGTACTTTGACAGGCAAAACTAGAAAATAGAGGATAATATACCATATTATCACGTGAAATAGATTATGAGTGCAGACATCTTTTCTTCAACCAATCTAAAATTACAAGATTTAAATTCCTTGTTCATTCCTAGATGTTCCATTTGGACAAAATATCAATGTTGAAAAACACAGTTTAAGGCTGCCAATAATGTGGAACATGTTGCATGGGAACAAATGGAAAAATTAACATCTGTAATTGAAAACAAGATGTATGTATAGTGAGTGCAAAAGATGCCATTCAGATCCTTACCAAACAATAGTTATTATTTGTTGTCACAAGGCGAAATACGAAATTCATCATTTATTCGATGCTCAAGAATCCAAATAACCACACCCACAACAAGAAAAGACAATCCTGTAACAAACCACATCCCCAATGTAAATGGCTGTAAGAATGCCCAAGAACTTGTTATATGTTTTTGATTGGAGCCAAGATAACCAGGCCTGACTCAATAAAGGGCTGGGTGAAATCAGTAGTTTTAGTTCGGCTCATTGTAATTACAATATCCCCTACTGCTGCATCAAAACCCTGCAGGATAAAGTAACTCTGATCACTATTATACATGCTGAAATGTGGAGGAGGGAAAAAAAATTGCATGTCCATACTTACATTGTCCACTACCATCTGTACAAGTTCGTCATAATTAGGATTTTTAGTACCATTGCCGAAAGGTATAAACCTGTATGTAACTGGATAAGGAAGCAATGACAATGCTTGAGTGAAGACATCGATGCAATAGCCCTTCATTGACCCAGTAGCATTATCTTGGCTAACAAACTCTTTAAAGCTATATCTGTTAGGGACGCCAATTTTCAACTCCTTGGCATTGGAAGGAAAGGCCCAGCCTCGAGGCTTCTGTGCAGTCTGTCCAGGCCAAATGACATCATAGAGTTGTTCATTGGCAAGAGAAGTATTAGGAGGCTTCGAATATAGGTCCTCTGGAAGTACAGTCGATAGCAATCTTGTATAGTTTGACCAAAAACCAATGGTCCGCATGCCATTCCCAATTATGCTTATGATATCATAGGCAGGATGAATGAGTTCAAACTGAGCATTAAACTGCACTTGGCCAGACACCCCAGTGAAGTTCACATTTCTAATCTTATCCAGTAATTTGTTTCCCATGTCAAAAATACTCATGGCTTCAAGGTGAAGAGTTCCCCCAGTTTCGTCACGCAACCTTGAGTCATTTGTAAAGGAAATCCTCCCACCATCATCAAAGAAGGCATCCAAGGCCCGAGCTACAGTCCACACACTATCATAAACATAAAAACCATAAGCACTGATGCGAAGATCACTGTGGTTGTATTTCTTGCTTAAGCTGCTCCACCTGGACACCAGATTACTCTTCATCTTTGACTTTAGGGTGTGTGGACGTACAGTCAGAACACCTTGCATGCCATTTATAGTTTCAGCAGGGACCGATGAATTCGCATCAAGATAAGCAGAAAGCCAATCAGTTGCAATCCATACAAAGCCGTTGCCCATCATGTTTAGTGAATTAGCAATTGACAAAAGCTTGAGTCCGGGGTTCCGAACCAGTATGGATGATAATAACACGAGACTCCATATTACTAACAGTAACCAATAGATTTAGAAGCTCACTTTTTTTAGCATTGGAACGGAACCCGGCCTTGTATGAAATTTTGCAGCGCCTTGCAGTAAGTTCATCATCCAAAGCAGCAATGCCGTTTCGACCATAATCATCATCAACGTATATGGCAGTCACTATCTTCCATTGGTAGTAATCAATAACTGCAGCCACAGCTGCCATTTGGTAGAGATCGCTGGGCATAGTTCGCATGAAGTATGGGAACTGGATTGATGATAGAGTTGCATCCGATGCAAAGGACATCAAAGGAACTTGAAGCTCATTTGCGACATATGAAATGATATGTGCAATAGGAGAGCATTGTGGCCCAATGATTGCAACAACATCAGTCTCCATGAACTGCAAAGCTGAAGAAAGGAATACTGTATCATAATCACAAGTCTAGAGTGGAAGCACGGAGTATTGAACAGTGAAATAAAAAAGGGAATCGGTATTAAAGATGGTCTACCTTGAACCATGCCAAGGAAACCGTCATCACAATTTGTATCTCTTGTGTCAACTCGTAACGTTGTTCCATTTAGAACTGTTGGATCTGAGTTGATATCATCCACTGCTGCATGGATGGCAATATCTGAAACACCTCCAGTGGTGGAGTTCAACCGAAGAATAGACCCAATACTCACAACTGAAGGCCTTGCAGCTAAGCTTTTGTGGATCCCATCAGGGACGAGAAACAGGGAGAGAACCAACAACATGAGAAAAGCTATCTTCATATTGGCCCAAATGTTTCAGAGGCTACTTTGAACTTATGAAGAAGTTGGCAAATTATCAATGAGTGTGTGAACCCTATCGAAAGAGAAACATGGAGCCACCTTATTAGGATGAACATATATAGAAATGTGCACAAGAATAAATATATAGGATGTTTTCTTGTAAATTGAAAGGAAAACAATAAGAAAGAAGGAGGTGAACAAATATTAACAGCAAGAAGCAAATATAGGAATAAGATGAATATATGGACTGAACGTTTCAAAGAAAAACAACTAGGTGATTACACTAGACAAACCATGAATGGAAAAAAACAATCATTTGAAATATGGTACAAAATGTTTTGGTAGGCGCCAATAATGATATCACATTTCCAGAAGGAAGAGAAAGAGAAACCACAAAATGTAATCCCAGCATTGATCAACCCTCACCACATGAAGCTTAAATGGATCATGGATTCTCCTGGCAATCATCATCCAGAACCTAACTTTGCTCATATCGCCCTATCCCACCCATAACCCAGATGCAATGCGTGGTCCATTAGTGAACAGCGACAGATAAAAGAGGTGGATGTCTTACTCAATCCACATATTCCATTTCGCACACCCTTTCGCTATGAACGAAAAGAACAAAAGCTGGATATTTCATACCTTGGCACTGTGCTATGTGCAAGGCATAAGAACCAATCAAGGTATCGATTCTATTCCTTGTGTCGATCAGACAACAAGAAGAAAAAAAAACAACACGCATTCCACACTACTATAATGATGGGGTTGGGTATTGCCAAGCACGCTTGCCACGAGGAGGTACGCTTCCATACAACTAGGGGGGCTTCCTGGAAAAGTGCAGCAATGCCTAGATTGTCAAGCAATCAGCCCCTCCATGCGGTTCGTGCTCGTTTTAGCAAGTGACGATCAGCAGGACGGACCTAATCGCAGATGTTCTGGCGAATTCCTCGCTCCAATCAAACCCCGACAGCCTCAGGTACTAACAAATGTTACTACTAGGAGAAGTACTAGCGACCGGGAGAGGGATGTGCAGGAACTAGTCCCAAGAAGACAACTTTTGCTCCGAATCACTACTAAGAGCCCAGGAAACGGCCGGAAACGGCAGCCATTGACAGGTGGAGACACGGGGATTTGCTCGGCTCCAGGAACAAAAATGTTGAAGATGTCTCTGTGCTAGTTCTGGGGCGGGAACAGCATGAGGAGGGAGACTTACGGGATGGCGTTGGTGCTCTTGCTCCCCAGAAAGAGGAAATCTTGGTCGTCTCCGGGGGAGCGTGCCGCGGCTTGACTCCTTGTCAAGACCCCAGGAGGCGGCGGCGGCCTTCCCTGAAGCTGGTGACTTTATTTTGGAGGCGAGGAGGAGCTGGGAGTATATAGCAAGAGGAGGGAGACGGAGATTGGAGAGTGGCAGCAGGTGGACCCCACACGGCGGACAAGCTTCAGCCTATTGGAGAGTGGCAGCAGGTGGATCCCACACGGCGGACAAGCTTCAGCCTGTTCGGGAGGCCGTATCGTATCGTGGATTATTTACTGCTGGCTGGTTTGGTGTGAGAGAAAAACACTATTTCCGGCTGGAAATTTACGATCGTTTACGAACAAGCGAACAGACTGGGCAATGATACCAGGCCCTGTTTAGTTGCACCCAAAATGCCAAATTTTTCAAGATTTTTTGTCATATCGAATCTTTGGACGCATGTATAAAGCATTAAATATAAATAAAAAATAAAATTAATTACACAGTTTAGACGAAATCCACGAGACGAATCTTTTAAAACTAATTAGATTATGATTGGACACTTATTGCTAAATAACAACGAAAATGCTACAGTAGCATTTTGAAAAAAAAAAATGGCATCCAAACTTGCCCCAGTACGCGGTGTATCACGTCAGCCGTGAGCTATATCATTAAACGAGAGTCTACTACTCTGCACGTGATTTGAACTTTTATTCATCGACCGCAACAAGCTCTATGTTGACTTGGGTTAAGTGAGGCCTCATTTAATTCGGCGAAATTTGGAAATTTGGCTACTGTAGTATTTTTATTTTTATTTGGTAATTAATGTTCTATCATGGACTAATTAGGCTCAAAACGTTCGTCTCGCAATTTTCAACTAAACTGTGCAATTAGTTTTTTTTTCATCTACATTTAATGCTCCATACACGTATCGCAAGATTTGATGTGATAGCTACTGTAGTATTTTTTGAGAATTTGGCTAAACAAGGCCTGAGGACTTATATTGACTAAATTATATATTGTATAGGTAGTTGGGTTTGTCTTGACTCTTGAGTTGAACTATATTCTTTGCCCCCTTTTAAAACGTGAGACTTTTTTTTCATACGTTTTTCTTACGAAAAATGAACTGATTCCAATAAAATTACTATACAATTCACGTGAAATTCTTGCGTTCCTAAGGGGTCCTTAACTTCGGCCGTTAACATCTAAAGATTTACATATGCCTGCCACACAATATTTATATAGATACTAGATTTATTACAAGAATGCTTTCGTTAATACATGATGTAGTTTTTTTTCCTCATTGGAAGCAGTGTGCTACTTTCGTAGGTATTGTCGGTCAAGTTATGAAATTTTAACTTAATACTCGTATTATATATAATAATCCCTCAACCCGATTGCTTCCTGCTCTTGGACAAGATTGAAGCATCTATCCATGGTGATTGGTGAGGCATAGACAAGCTAGATGACGTGTTATTAGCGCCGTGCAGCCGGCGTACGTGTCACAACCGCAGTGGTGGATGCATGGCGACGAATCCGGACCCACCGACACGCTTCATCTGTTCATCGCAATGCAAACAATTTGAGGCAGACAGGGGCAAGGCATCTTTTATGCAACCTCTACCTAAGCAATACTAGCACACTAGCCTCTAGTGGTCACAGTACAGTCTCTCACAGTCACGGGTCTGTGCGGCTGATCCAGTTTCAGCTGATTTCGACTGATTTAATAGCTATGAGAGAGAATAAGCTGAAGCAAAATGAAAGTATACCAGCCGAACAGGCTGTCGGCTGGCATTTCACCATGGTCCGTACATCATCATATCCATTGCTGCCGGTGCCTGCAACCTTGAGCCTTGGAGTGTATGATTGGGCAAAGAAAGGAATAGATAGATTTTAGTTTTCTCTGTTTTTTTTCCTTCCATAGGTAGGCCCCTTTTGGAACATGTGATTTATATATCAAGGAATTTTGTAGGTTTGTAAACCTATAGCATTTTTTTCTATGTGACCCATTGGGACAAAGGATCAGTCATCTTGAAATCCTATATAAAATTCTTATGGAATGGCTCAATCTATAGGGAAATTTGAAGAAAATTTAACAGGAGGTCCGACCTCTTGGAAACATCCTTTTATGTCTTTCTATTGTAATTCATGTGTTTCGCCTACGTTGTACCATATCCAAATGCTCCGTTACAAACTTTTCTACCGTAGAGAAAGACTATCTAACAAGTACGTGTGCAAGATGTGATACATGTGTGTTTCAGAGAGAGACAGGCACAAGGTTAACAAGACAAATACTAGGAGATGAGAGTAACGACGAAGGCGACAGCATGCGTGTAGGGGACAGCTTCCTCCGAATAATCATCTGCCAGTACCTGCTGAAGAAGCCACTGGATCATCTATCCATCCATCGATCTCAGTATTTTTTTTAAATAATAGTTTTATTTAGCAAGTGACCCAAGTCAATTGTGAAGTCATGCATGTGTACATACGCAAGTGATCGATCACCCATTTTATTATTATTAGATTAGCGCCCCGTTCGTTTGGGCTGATTTGGCTTATATTATAAGCCATGGCTGAAAGTACTGTTAGCTGGTTTGGTGTGAGAGAAAAATACTATTCGTTGATAGATAAGTTATGACTTATAAGCCAAATATGACCGAGCGAACAAGCCGCGGATTAGTTAACTTTACTTGTTGCCTTGAATGTCATGTATGAAAGGTACTAGTATACATGCATCGATTTCATGGTGACAATGAGTAAAGCTATATATTTGTGGCAGACAAATTTTATGCTGAGAGCAATTAGGAAGGAAGAGCCGGTAGTTTAGTGGTTATAGAAACTTTAGTACCATCTTAGGTGGGTTCAACTCCCCATATGAGCGAATTTTTCAGGATTTAATGTGTTGTGTTTTCAGTGGTAAGCGACGTTCCCGTCGGCAGCGATGTGCTTATAGTGACTTCGTCAATCTTGAGGTTTTGCCAGTCTTCGAAGATGCTCATAAGTGTAGGATTTGCGTGCGTGCGTTCATAGCGATGAGTGTGTGTCCGTTGTACTGTGTAATTTCTCAAAAAAGAACTAGCTAGTGTGGACTCCCTCTATTCTTAAAGAAAGTGTGAATCTGCTTCTCAAAAGTAAAAAAAATAATCTCAAACTTAACTAGGTTATAGAAAAAAGTACCATCTCTATTTTAAACTATAAGATGTTCTAATTTTTCTAGATACATAACTTTTGATCTGTATTTAAATATGCACTATGTCTATATATATATATATATATATATATATATATATATATATAGACAAATTTGCGTATATATAAAAGTCAGAATTCTTATAGTTTGGAATGGATGGAGTATCATTCTTTATGTCGTTAAATTAAACTATTGTAAAAATATTATTTTTTTATTAACTTAGTGATACTTGCTACGTGTTATAATTATAAATACTAGTATTTTTGTATATATTTAATCAAATTCAGGATTGTTTGACCGTTCGGAGTCCGTACCTACAGAACGTGCAATAAACGTGCACCACGCGAGCTGATATGAATTTGATACATCACTGTCACTCGAGTCTACCTCGATGAAGACTGTCCGCTACCTGTAATGTGCGTACGTCTCTCTCTTGATGATCTCATCAGTCATCTGTCCACACAGCAATTGACCAGGACGTCCAATTCCTTCACCTTTCTGCATCATGCATGCTATATATGTACTCTCCAATTTCCATTCCATCTTTCTTTTTTTAGCTTGGAAGATGACAGT